CTGCCATGCACGTTCTACAGACAGGTCCGGTCAGCGCTCTGATATCTGTGTTCCCATCTCTAGACACGGCTCGCAGTGCCAGCTGATGTAAGCCGCAGGAAATTGGTGTCCGTATTGTCAGCAATAAAACCGAGTCACCTATAAAATACTAATAAGAGTTTACAATGGGATGTGTGAAGAACAGAGAGTGCTAGGAGGAAGAATCAAGTCCAAAAACATCCTTTCCTAGGACAATCCACAATGACATGAGCAGCAATGTCCATGGAGACCCGTGAATGCTCCCTGTGGCCTCCACAGATGGTATACAGATGGCCGGTGTTCATATTGTCACCTATGGAAGGTACAGATTGCAACAAGCACTCATATGAATGTGCCGGATATTCTTTTTGTATTCATATAATACAGATTGTTTTTATCCTCCAGTTTCTCCTGAAGACGTGGACTATAGTGGTCAGGAGGTCCAACACAGCTCCGGCACTGATGGTGATTTGTATTATAACATGTATACAATCCAGGAGTATCTATGTATATTATATAATGCTGTATGGGGGGTCTGGGGGAGGGTCTTCATATTGTCATATTTATCAGCCTTTTATTTACCATGTTTGATGAACATGTAATAAAGATAGATGTCAGTCTAATACAGCGCGGGGGATGATTGCTGCACTTACACATTACACAGGAAGTCCATAGAGAGTTCTTATATGTTCAGCTCTAGGTATAGTGATGAAGGTACGCAGCGTACGGGGATGACAAGAGATGTGTCTGTAAAAACCTGATGTGCTTCAAATCTTCCACAGTGTGATAACCTCAACTATGCACCTTCACCCGAGAGATCAGAGGACCACTTACCTTCTCATAGACCTCTCACTCCATCTCCATAGTGATCGGAGGAGCACTTACCTACTCGTAGACCTCTCACTCCATCTCCATAGTGATCAGAGGACCACCTACTACTCATAGACCTCTCACACCATCTCCATAGTGATCGGAGGACCACCTACTACTCATAGACCTCTCACACCATCTCCATAGTGATCAGAGGAACACTTACTACTCATAGACCTCTCACTCCATCTCCATAGTGATCAGAGGAGCATTACTACTCATAGACCTCTCATTCCATCTCCATAGTGATCAGAGAACCACTTACTACTCATAGACCTCTCACTCCATCTCCCTAGGGATCAGAGGAGCATTACTACTCATAGACCTCTCACTCCATCTCCCTAGGGATCAGAGGAGCATTACTACTCATAGACCTCACACTCCATCTCCATAGTGATCAGAGGAGCATTACTACTCATAGACCTCTCACTCCATCTCCATAGTGATTAGAGAACCACCTACTACTCATAGACCTCACACTCCATCTCCATAGTGATCAGAGGACCACTTACTACTCATAGACCTCACACTCCATCTCCATAGTGATCAGAGGAGCATTACTACTCATAGACATCTCACTCCATCTCCGTAGTGATTAGAGGACCACCTACTACTCATAGACCTTTCACTCCATCTCCATAGTGATCAGTGGAGCACTTACCTACTCATAGACCTCTCACTCCATCTCCATAGTGATCAGAGGAGCACTTACCCACTAACATACCTCACATAGAATAGGTAGCAACCACTTTTGTGAGCAGTATATATTCCCCTCACCTTGTGGTTTGGTCACGATCTTCAACAAAAACAAGACTCCAGGGAATTCAAAGAGAAAACCGGCTCCTCGGGGGAGTAAAATTGTTTTATTGGATAAATACAAAATAGGAAAAAAGAAGCACCCAAATCTAGCAGTATGATAATACAAAGTGATGATGTCTCTGGTTCCTCTGATGACAGAGGACTTCATAATAGGACCTTATAGATATATAAGTCCCCCATAGGCACTGGAGCTCTGCATTATTCTTTACTTTCATTTTGTTTAGGTTTTTGATTCATGTGGAAGTCCTAAAATGTATATATTGTCAGCGCAGACTATTATGGGTAAGAAGAAGGACTTATTCTTATCAAAATGTTGCTCTTATAACCATAATTCCGGGACCTATTTTTGGAGAATGGCCAACCTGCACAATCCTCTTACTCTGTGTCTGCCATTATTTTAAGGAAATTTGCTTTCCATGGAGAGGAGAAAAGCTACAGGGTCACTTTACTGTCACCCCAACCACCCTTTCCCACCCTTCACCTGAACCTTTTGCTTGGTGCAGCATAGGTATAGAAGAGGTTCACCTTAAAAAGGCCTCCTGACAATCTTCCAAAGCTTGGCCACCCATAAGGAACTAGCTATAGTTGGCCCTCTTAACCCTCAACACACATGCTATTCAGTTTTGGGCAGAGTGAGGAAAAATTAAAAGGAAGATTGTTTCCTTGCTTCCTGTCTCTGTGATGCCCAAACAAGAAATGGGGATGCAATTTTCTCTGAGACAGGAAGTTACCCACAGCAATAAAAGCAATGTTGAAAGTCGTAACCCTTCCTCACACATTTGTTTTTGTCCAGCATCAGGAGGCTCTTACTTGTCCCTTTCATATCCAAAATCAGATAAAAGGTTTTTCCTGGGATAAGGCTTCCAAAGAACTCAGGAGACTATTTCAGGAAGAATTTTGCCACCCTCTCTCGAATTTGCTTGGTTCTTATCCCATAAACCAATGGGTTCATCATGGGGGGTACAAGAAGGTAGGAGTTGGCCAGCAGGATGTGCGTATGGTGAGGAACGTTTTTCCCGAATCTGTGCACTAAGGATGAGCTGAGGATGGGGGTGTAGAATGACAGGATAGCACAGACATGGGAGATGCATGTTCCAAAGGATTTCACGCGAGCCTCAACACTCAGCTTCAGAAGGGCTCGAAGGATCATCACATAGGAGAGAGCAATCAACACTGAATCCATCACCAAGACAAGGAAGCCAATGGCCATTCCAAGGTGGTCGTTGAACGAGACGTCAGCGCAAGCAAGCCTTACCACAGCCATGTGTTCGCAGTATGAGTGGACAATTACATTACTGCTGTACTGGTGGAATCTCTCAGACAACAGAGGCAGCGGAAGAATGTAGACCACCCCGCGCAGCACTGCAAATACTCCACTTATGATAATAACACTTGGGGTCACTGTGACAGAATACCGTAGAGGGTTACATATGGCTGCATATCGATCATAAGCCATTGCTAGGAAGATTCCTGACTCAATGGTAGAGAATGTATGCACAAAGAACATCTGTACAAGACACGTATGGAAGTCAATCTCATTCTGATGGAACCAGAAGATGCAGAGAAGCTTGGGCACAGTGGAATTGGCCAATATTATGTCAACGAGAGCAAGAATGGTGAAGTAGATGTACATGGGCTGGTGGAGACTGACATCCGTAAAGATGATGAACAAGACGGTATAGTTCCCGATGATGGCAAAGAGGAACATTGAGAAGAAGGGAACCGAGATCCAGACATGGAGGTGTTCCAGACCAGGGATACCCAGCAGGATGAAGGTATGTGGGTGGAAGCAGCTTTCATTGGCTGTCACCATTGTAGACTTCAAAGATTATATCCTGAAAGAGAGGAAAGTAGAAGACCATAAGATATGATATCATAGACTGTAGCATCTTCTGAACTTTGTGGTACAATGAAGGTGTAGAAGATAACTCCAGGCTAAAAAGAAATACATCTGTAAAGTGAAAAGCTTTTTCCTGGTGCCCTCCTGTAATGTTTTGGGACAAGTTCTGACAATGTCTTGTTGTGCATACCAACTAGCCATCACCTACAATGCTGTTTCCTCCCGCAGTGGTCCACAACTGTCAACAAGGCGTCTAAATCTGATTCAGAGTATGCAGAATATGATTTCAAAGCTGGAAAATAAAGTGCGGACAATGTCTATGCCAATGACTGCGGGTTACACAAAAAGTGAATGTATAGACCAAACTCTCTGTTTATAGGACCTCCCTCAAATTTTTATTGTGGTCTCTGTCCCCACTAGAGACAATAACCCTCTTTATTTGTCCTGGTGGACATTGCCACCGTAGCCCCCATCACCTTCTGTGATGTGGCTACTAGACATTTAGTGGTAGCCGGGGCTTTAGTCAGTCTGGTTGGATTATAGTGGCAATTATCTGGTTAATTCCCACTGTCTGGCATTGACTGTACCCCTCTGGGTGGAGTGTGACTCTGCTGTATTGTGGAACAGCCAATGAGAGACACTGTAAGTGTATGTACAGTACAGCAGCCAATCACTGGGTTTCTCTCAGCTAGTGGTGCATGCTGGGATAGGGTACATATACTGAAGGGAATTGCCATGTGCTCGAACTAGCCAGGACCAGCCATGGATTAGGGCTGGATGCTCTCTAGCCACCCCCCAGGCTAGGCCTGAGGCCTGGGGGTGTGCAAAGGCTTGTGTGTGTGTGTGGGAAGTGTTTCTCTGGGGCCGCCATTATGGAGGAAAACTGTGTTGCTGCCAGAGGAAGAGGACCAGAAAAATGATGGCTCTTGAAGTTACCTGGAACTCAAAGGACTTCAGGGGCGTGAATGGTGTCTCCCCTGCTAGGGATTTGTGCTCATCTGCTACTCCACTTACTATTCTCTGTTCTACAAGTGGTGAGTCTCTGTCTGTCACACCCGGGAGGTCTAGGACCCCGATACCCTCTCTCTCCAGTGTGAAGATGTTTACTAAAAGTTATTCAGCATTGCATTACTGGAGTGATATCAGCTTTGTGGGCACTAGAAGAAGGGCGGTTAAATGCTAAAGGAGGCGGCTGAAGCTCAAACCCTAGACAACTAGTGATGATGATCCGGGTTAATCCAGCGGCTCCTTCAGGGGTGAGTGCTACACCACCAAGACGGAAAATGATGTGTAATCCAAATGTTTGAGTTGTCACCAGAACAGGAAACGAGATGAAAGATACCAGCCTGCCCCCCACTATCCCATAATGCATGCAGTGCATAGTGCTTAGGTACAGCCAATGGTGTCTTCATGGCCCACCCCCGTATAGAAGGCCACCTAGAAGAGCATTGTTCTGCTTACATGTGCCAAAGACTTTACAGCTCTCCTCTCTGGCAGAGATAGAAGGATCTGGCTGTGCCTGGATACACAGCGCATTATGGTAGTGTTAGCCCTGACTGGTCCTATTCAAGGAAGAACTCTGGGCAGAAGAAAACTTAATCCTTTCAGTGGAGCTACCCCCACACTGCAAGAGTTCCCTGCTCGGCTTGGTCTAGGGTCTAAAATAACAAAGATAAGAACCTGAACCTGGGACCCACCTGGCTGCTGGGCCGATCCCTGCAGTCTCTCTCCTCCTCTCTCACCTTGGTATGTGTCGGCTGGTGGGAAAAGTCAGCATGAGGTCATATGTCACTGCTAAGATTCCCAGCAGTCAATGGGAAGCTCCTTGTATTATGCGGCATATGATGCTCGGAGGGGAACATTTTCTCCACATCTCACCTGCCACTAGCTGCTTTCAATCATTTTGTTGTGGGGGTTACTAAGTGTAATCCAGGGGGGAGGATGTCTACGACATACAGGAGATGATATTGGTCAACACTACACACACAGGAAGTGCGCCAGATGAACTGCACTTGATTAGGACAGCTTCACCTTTAGTAAAGTGGTCCTTTATTAAATCCCCCTCCCCCGGAATGCTTCCTGCCCTCCTGCTGTAATACCTTCCTTCTTCTGTGGTCCAGGGATATTTCCCCCAACAAGGTTCTGTCTGGTTCCTCTTAATACGGCTGCGGCCCCATTAAATCCTGTGGGCCAAACTCTGGGAGCCTGCTGGAGTCCGCCATGAGTACAGCTACTGCTAGGTATGAATGGGGGCCATGGTGGGCATGTACAGTATGAATAGGGCCCGGCTGGGACCACTGGATCAGGGAGGAAGGACATGACTATTCCTGGTGGGCTGCACTCATGGGGAAGTTGGAAGGTTTATTGAAGGACAACCTTTACTAAAGGGGAAGATGTCCTTCAAGATTTCTGAGGCAAACAGCGCAGAGGGGAAGAGTAAATATGTAAAGCTGTGCTCCACTCTTCACACTGCCAAGGGGGCCAGATGAGAAAGATAAATACAGCTAAGGACAGGGTTGGGCTTTGAAGAAGTTTTGCTGTTAGAAGCCTTCCAGATGATGATTGTGAGGTGGAGCTTTGTTTTGCATCTGGGCTGCTCTTAAAAGGCCAGTCCATCCAAAGGGGATGTTTTACTTAATGGTGGGGCCTGGTGGGCTGAGTAAGCCCTATAGCTTCTTATATATCTTGAGCCAACAGCAGGATTTCCTTGGGCTAATGTGTGACTTTTTTCCTGTTTACCTGGTTTTGGGTGTCCCTTCCCATCATGGAGTGTTCCTGCCCGCCAAGGAGTATTCCTGCCCAACAACAAGCATTAATGCCCACCATGGAGTGTTCCTACCCATCAAAAAGCATTCCTGCCCCCACGGATTGTTCCTACCCATCAACAAGCATTCCTGCCCCCACAGAGTGTTCCTACCCATCAACAAGCATTCCTGCCCTCCATGGAGTGTTCCTACCCATCAACAAGCATTCCTGCCCTCCATGGAGTGTTCCTACCCATCAAAAAGCATTCCTGCCCTCCATGGAGTGTTCCTACCCATCAAAAAGCATTCCTGCCCCCATGGAGTGTTCTTGTCCATCAACAAGCATTCCTGCCCTCCATGGAGTGTTCCTGCCCACCCACTATGGAGTGTTCCTGCTGCCCATCAACAAGCATTCCTGCCCACCATGGAGTGTTCCTGCCCACCCACTATGGAGTGTTCCTGCTGCCCATCAACAAGCATTCCTGCCCACCATGGAGTGTTCCTGCCCATCAACAAGCATTCCTGCCCAGCATGGAGTGTTCCTACCCATCAACAAGCATTCCTGCCCACTGTGGAGTGTTGCTGCACATCAAGGACCATTCAGCTCCTCTTTTACATTCTCCATAATATAAAATATGTTATAACAGGTTCACTAGAACAATTAACTCCAGACCCCCTGTCAGGTTTTCTTAGCTTTGTGTGACTCCACCAGGGACTGTGTTTCTCGGTGACCCCCTCTGTGGCACCAGGTCAAGAAATGAGGGGAGCAGAGTTCACCGGGACAGAAAGACACAGCAATCAAAACTTGAAGGGCGTTCTATCCTTCCCCACCCCCATCCAGGACAAGAAGTGTCCAGAGTCTGGCTATAACATAGAATACATAGAGAGATGACGGATGGAGTGACAACGCTGACAATGGTGACAACCTATCCAAAATGATTCTAGTAGTTTATCAGGGAATCCAGAAGATTAATTTCATATACAGCTGAGAACATCGCAATCATAATTATCACCAGTAACTGATCTTATTTATGTGTAGTTTCCACAGTGTGATAACTGTGAATGGGTCAGGTGTCCATGGAGGTGCGGAGATGTAGGACAAAGCCCATGTACTCACCTGTGAACCTTCCATGGGTGTCCGGAGCTGGTGAAGAACGATTCCCCATCACACAGACTGTGACCATCGTCATCCCTCCTCCATGTGAAATCAGAACTGACAATGTGGAGCTCAATATAAAATGTGCCGGACCTCCGGGGACCGTGTGCTCAGCTGTGGACCTCCCTGACCTCTCTGCCCTCCATGCCACCATCTGGGACCTTCACCAGCTGCTCAGGAAACACTGAACTGAAAATATTGACTCCTCCTGGTCACAGGCAGAGCCGGGATGACGCCACAACCTGGGAACTCCAATTTATGATACACTTGGACTGATTTGCAGTCACCACATTCCCAATTCTACTGAAACTTCATCATAAGAACCAAAAATAGATCCGCAGAAAGAATTCTAAAGAATGTTATTTATACAATAGAACTGATTTGTAGTCATGGCACCTGACCTGGGGCGAAGTGACCTCACACTGCAGACATAGAGGTATAAGACTACAGAGGTGCTAAGGCACAGGAAGTACACTGAGAACAGGAGTGTCTAGGCGCAGGAAGTACACTGAGATAAGGAGTGTCTAGGCACAGGAAGTACACTGAGATAAGGAGTGTCTAGGCACAGGAAGTACACTGAGATCAGGAGTGTCTAGGCACAGGAAGTACACAGAGATCAGGAGTTCCTAGGCACAGGAAGTACACTGAGATCAGGAGTGCCTAGGCACAGGAAGTACACAGAGATCAGGAATTCCTAGGCACAGGAAGTACACTGAGATCAGGAGTGCCTAGGCACAGGAAGTGCACTTCTATTTTTCAAGAAAAAAATCATAACAAAAGGAATCCTGGGCACTGATTGGGTTCATTTATTCTTTGATGTGAAATCACTTGTTGAGTCCCGGTCCAGGTTTCCCATCCCTCCATATTGTATCCTCCATATTGTACCCTCCATATTGTATCCTCCATATTGTATCCTCCATATTGTACCCTCCATATTGTATCCTCCATATTGTATCCTCCATATTGTATCCTCCATATTGTACCCTCCATATTGTATCCTCCATATTGAATCCGGTGCCATTCATTCAGATCAGTTACATCCACATCATTAGATCACCAGGAATCTAGTGTAG